TGCTGCAAAGAAACCAAAACGTAAATTATCAATCATGGAGAAAACGACAAGAAAAAAGAAGACGAGGATTAAAAAAATAGAAATGAGCTGGACCTTCTTGAATCTTCCGAAGAGTCCAGATATCGCAGCAAAACATTCTCAAACCTGCAAAAAAAAAATAATCAAACAATCGAAACAAAACAGAGAACGAAAACTCATTTTTCAAAATTGATTTTGTGTTTTTTTTTTTTTTTAATTTTGCAAACCTTCCGTTTGGTCCAGTCCCAAAGTTGGTCAATCGGCCATTAGGTGAGAACATGAGCAGACCGACATCCGTATCGCAGAGCACGGACAACTCACTCGCCTTGTTGATAAGTCCTTCTCTGCGCTTCGAATAGGTTGCATATCGACTGGAAGGATTCTCAATCTGCTTCATCTCCAGCTTCTTCCGAACCATAGTAAAAAAAAACAGAGAGCCGTCGGAGAAGACGGCAGCGAAGAGAGGAGGAAAAAGAGAGAAAAGAGAGTAAATCAATCTGAGGTGATGAAACGGAACACTGAATTTAAAGGTCATGCAAGAAGGGAACAATGCATCAGGAGGAGATGACAACTGTCCTTAACGTTTCAAGCCACAGAGCGAAGAATACACTCCTTTTATTTATTTATTTATTTATTTCCGGTTCTATCTGGGTTAGATAACATTCAATTAATTTTTTTGAACAAATATATACAAAATAATTAATAATTTTTATTATTAAAAATTTGAAATTGCTAGAAAGAATAACTATACATGGTTCATTGAAATGCAATAGAGCGTCACCTTTCTGGCGTGTCCGAAATTTTCTACCGTTACAAACATCTCTGATTGGTATCACCAAAAACGATACCACCTGCCATGAAAGCTATTTTGGCTACTTGCAAGGAGGCTTAGAGTTAATATCTACGGCACCTTGATTTACACTCTATTTATTCTTAATTTTTAATTTAATTACTCTAATTTGTTTATATATTTTTTTTATTATATTATTTTCACCACGTCCGCTTCTTTTTTTATCCCGTAAAAAGTATTTTTTTTTTTTTATAATTATTTACAAAATTACATGTAATAATTACTTAATCGCATATTTATGGTTTTATGTAAGGCTTTTAAGTTTATAAGGTGTATTTTCTTAATTAAGTGAAAATATATTTCGATTAGTGAATTTCTATAATTAAATAGAAAAGTTAATTTGTAACCCTTCATTTTAAGTTATAATCCAAACTTAGATCTTATAACTGTTATTTTTGTAAAACCAACTTATACAAATTAGATGTCAAATCAATTACATCCTCCTCGCTATAGTTTGTTTTTTGGCATCAAAATGGCCAATAATGGTAATTTGTTTTTTATTTACACATAAAAAATGACCGATTGATGTGTGACTAAGATCAAGCAGAATGTGTTAAAAGTGAGCATTTGGGATAGTTATAACTTATATTATGAATTTTAAAAAGGTTGTTAAAATAGTTATTGATCAAAAGTGTTTTTAATTAAATATTATTTAATGTTTAATAAAAATAGTTGTAAAAAATAATTTTATTTTAAAGAAGTAAAAATTTTGTATTTAGTAAAACTGATTTTTAAAATATTAAATATAAATTTTTAATAAAAACTACAATGATATTTTATATTAAAAAATATATTTTGATTTTCAATACTAGCAAAGGTATTTTATATTTTATATATTTGGTTTAAAAAAAAAAAGTAAAAATTTTGATTTTAATAAAATTGATTTTTGAAATGTTATGCGTAAAATTTAAATAAAAGCAAATTTTTTTTTTTTTTTTAAAATTACACATTATAACTTTTGACTTCAAACATTTTGAAAGCATATTTTGACTTTGACTATTGGCAAAAACATTTTCAATCTCTTCTCAATTTTGAAACACAGATTAGGACCTTAATGAATATGGATCCAGAGATTCTTTTCACGTTACTCTTGGCCCTTCCCACTCTATGATAGACTCCTTAAATCCTACAGAAATACTTTCTACTAAATTTTGCAATACAGGATTTATGCGACACCAGGCCAGTTGTCTCCATGTTTCTCCTTTTCTTAATCTATTATAAAATCAATTTTAAACTATTAGACATTACATATGTTTGATATTATATGCATGTATGTATGTGTACATAAGCTCTGCAGCATGACCTTCACCTTTATATCACCAATGAATTCACCTGATATCTTTTCAAATTTGAAGGGTTAATTAATTAAATTATAGAGGTACCCTTCCTCTTGGTGTCGAAAATCCCATCTCCTATGTTGCCTCCGCATTGTTAAAACGACATTATAGCCTACCGTTTAAGCCCGCACTCCTCAACCACTGGGAACAAGCTTCTGTAAGCACCCCAATCCTATTGCCGAGAGCCGTTTGATTCCACGATCCCCCACCTAACTTCTACCATCTTACCGTCAGCTCCGGCGCCTATTAGCTCCTTCAGCTGCCTCTCAAGAGCTTCTTTCTTCTCAAAAACGTCGTCGTTTCGTATGACATCAAGCTGCATGCATGTCCTAATATTTATACATGTACACACACACACATATTGAGAATGGAAAGGAAATGAAGCAAACAGAAGGTGAAAGCAGGAAGAGAGCATTATCTTCTTACACGGGACAGAGTGAATGCCTTAATTTATGAAAACTCTGCATTCTACTTTTGTTTGATACAACCCAGATGCATATCTTCTGATATGGACCACTTTTTCTTTCAGATTACTTTCCTCCTTCTTTGCAATTACCAGGAAAATTATAGGATACTGATTCAGGGTTAAAATCCAGATTTGACAGTAGGCTTAGTTATATACTGGGAACAAATTCTTTTACCCAAAAATTACTTATTCTCAACAGTAAATGTAATTTACCTGAGCTGGCTCCTCCGTTGTCGCGCAGTGAGAAATCATGAAGCTGCCATGGCTGCTCTTCCAACATAAGATAGTTGATCTGCTTAAACAAGAAACCATGGCTTGCTGGGTTTTTTTCCTCTTTTTTTTTTTTTCTCTATTTTCAAATATTATTAAAAAAATCAAAAGGCTTTCATGTTTGTTTATTGTGTTGATAGAATGATAAGGACCACATCTTGAATTTTTGTTTTTGCAATTTCTTTTCTTCCAAGCATGATTCTCTGAGTCATTTTCTTTCTGCTTTGTTCCAAAGAAGGACACTGTCATTGGGAAGAGAGGCTCCCAATCAGTAGATTCTACGGGCGCCGCGCAGGGGAACACAGCAGACATATCCATTCCACTATACCACTTCATTAGTTCATCCTTAATTCCTATTTTGCCCCTCACTTCTCAGATTCCCTACTTACTAAAATTAAGGACATTTCTGTCAAAACAAGTTTTTAACAAAAATTATTCTTTTGGTTAAGAAAATAATGGCCTTCACGTGTTACTCAGTAACTTCTTCGGCCAATTTCATAAATTCCCACAACGCCATAACACCCAACTCCATTCCAAATGCATGACTCATCTTCCTCACTTCAAAATCCACCATGAAAATAAGACGACAAGAATCCAAACCCAAACCCAACACCATCTCTGCAAATATTAGTCTAATACCCAGAAAGTAAAAAAACACCATCTCTGCAAATACTCACAGTTTTCTCTGTCATCAGTACGAAAATGTGTTATGTGGGGAAGGCTACCAAGATCTTCATCTTCATTATGACAGTGCTTGTCGTTCTGGGTCTCGTCTTGGGATTCGGCCTACTACATCACCGCCTTCAAAAGCCCCATCACTGCGCCGGCGACTCCTGCGACGGTATTTCTACTCCACCCTCTGTTTTCCCCAACCCGAATCCTAACCCTAACCCACCTGATCAATCCACCTTCAACCAGCCGACCCCACCTGGTACCGACCCACCTTCTATTCCAATCTCTAACCCTCCTCCCACTCAACCCAGCCCGCCCACCTTCTCCAACCCACCTAGTCCGCCTATTTCCAACCCCTTTCCTCCTCCGCCCATCACAGAAACTAATCCTCCTCCTCCTCCTCAATTTTCCCCTCCGCCGCCTGCGACGGGGACGCAGTTAGCAGCGCCGCCATACAATCAGCCGACTCCAGTCATTGTGAGTCCAGCTCCTGTGCATGCTTAGGCTCTAGCTGATTAGTGATTATAATGTACTCGATTTTTGTTTTCACGCTTTCGTTAAATTGACAGAACAATGTCATATTGTTTTTTTCTTGGTTTCCTTCGATTCTTCTTCATTTCGTTATCCATTTTTGGATAATTTCTCAGAGATGGCCCTTTTTTTTTCTTGTATAGTAAAAATTAAGGTAGAAATTAAATTTTGAGTGGTGGGATGTGTTCGATCTGGTTTTTGTAACGATGGGTTCCGATTCTCTTTACCGTTATCTCTTAGAATGTACAGTGAATGTAGAGTTTTATACAGAGCTGAGCATGATGATGGTGATGTGAATTTTTAGCTTCAATGTTGGTGTCACAAGAGTCAAAGAAATGTCAAATTCAGTTGACTGCTACTCGTTTGTGGCAATCCAGAGCGGATCGGGATGTGTGGATCTTGATTTGGGGTATGTTTGGCCTCTAAGAAAATTGTTATGCCCCCTTTTTTTTCTCCCGTCTCTGACGTGGCAAATGACAATAGAAAATTAGAATATGACCTTCGTAATTTATTATTTGTTTTCCTGGTAAACAAACATATATGGGGCTTTTTCATGTGGTGGGGGTACCGATCAAAATATTCTTATATACTTTCTTCGCAGGCAAACACTGTTAGCTTCTAGACCTTTATATACACACACACAAATATAACTGAGATATTTACATATACATACTATCATATAATAGAAAAATACAGGAGTTTTGATGGGCAAGCAAAAGTTGATAGGTCAGAAAAAAGGGGTGCTGTAAGGTAATCACAGACAAAGTGGGTCAAAAGGTTAAGAATCCGATAAAAATTAAGTTGATTGTAGACATATTTGATGGAGGACAAAATTTGAGAGAAGGGGAATCTGCAAGGCTGGATTTGTCAGATGCTCCCACTTTCTGCTGAGTTATTGTCGTTATAAAACAGTAATAAATTCGGCCAGCTTGACTTTTGGGAAGAAGAAATCCTGGAAACAAATTAACGTGAATTGATCGATCGATTGATTTATATTTTCATGGTGAATTCACAAATCGAAGTACATTTCACTTAAACTGATCTTCACAGCTTTTCCCTCTCCAGATCCAGGACCGTAAATGGAATACAAAGAAACTAAAAATTCACAATAAATTTCTCATAAACCAAGAAGCAGAATTATCATCATCACGCTCAGACCAATTACAGCTTCGTATTTGTTTGCCGACGAAGGAGATGGGGGCGGCAGAATATCACCACCGAAAGGCGAGTTAGCTCCAGTGGAAGGAACATCAAGAACAGAGCTGATTGAAGAAGGCGAGTCATCTGGCGCTGCAGGATTGACAGGAGACTGGACCTGCAACTGAGTGGGAGCTTCAGCTTGTTGGGGGGCTAGAGAAGAAACAGGAGTAATCAATGGAATTGAAGGAGATGACTCCGGTGGGCTTGCCGGAGATGGGATGGTTGGTGGAGGAGTAGCGGTTGCCAGAGTCTCCACTTCTAGCCTCATTCCTTGACTGCAATGTCCTGGTGTTCCGCAGATGAAATATCGTTTCCCCGGAGATGGCAGAGGGATGGCCGTGTTGCCGTCTGTGTAAGTCTGAATTGGATTTGTTGGCTGGCATGAATCGAAGTCTGTCTTGGTTACTTCGACCAAATCATGGCTCGGGGAGTACTGGAAAACTGCAAGAATTAATGGTTAATTTAGTCTTAATTTACATATACACACACATATATATAAGTACGTCTCTGTCTCTGTGTGAAAAATTAAAGAACTAACTGAGATTATCTCCAACCAAAAATGACTGAGAATCAGCCCATGATTTCAACTCTGTGCCAACGGCCCACCCACCACTTGTCCCACCCACGACGTAGTTTGTCGCTGCCGCTAAGTCGATCAACATGGCTGTAAGAGCCAAGATAGTCAATGTCCTCACCTTCATTGCCATTAATCCTTCCAAACAAGAACCACTTTTCATGAAACGCACTTCGCTGGTTTGTGATTTCATGCATGTACAAAGCTATATATATATATACACGCATATATGTGTATGTATTTGTTAGACTTTGGAGGAGCTGGTTGCAGTTGGTTTTTAAATATTAATTGCACGATTACAGATTTATGTTATGACAGGTTGGTTTCTCTCCACTGTATTCGTTTATCTTCCATATTTTTTGAAGTCCTACTAACTTCCTTCCTTGCTTTTGGCTGACCATTTCATGGATAAAGAATTTCTTCTGGTGTCTCTTTGTTTTTGGGGTAGGTGTCCTTTAATACTTAAAACACACACACATATATATATATATATATATATATATATATATGAGAGAGTGGTTAATTATAGGATCCATGTGAAAGGAGATGACTTTTACCCGGAGGTATTAAATATTAATACACCTAATCCAAAATATATATCTAAACCATCATCCATTGTTACACCAATTTAAAGTTCAATATAAAAACACGGATACTAACATACATCAACACACACACACACACACACACATATATATATATATATATATATATTCACATTTGAGGCGGCCAATAAAATTGAAGGCACGATCATCTTGCTTTTTGTCAATGCATATCAATTGGTATGCTCAGGGAAATAGTCATCTATGCATTTAATTTTTTAATTTCATGACCATTCATAATATGTAGTAACCATTTTTAATTGAATTAATGAGTATTCGTAATTTTTCCAATAATAATATATTAATATTTCAAACAAAAAATAAAGAAAATAAGGCACAATCAAATAATTAATATGTTATTTTCTCATATTTTGAATTTATATCTAGTTCAAACCAATCTATGTGCTTACATACATATTCAAATCGAGTTCAAGATGTAATTTATGAGATATTGGAGATGTGATTAAACTCGGCATAAATCTTAATTCATATTCAAATATAATCCAAAACCTAATTTATGAGAGGTTAAAGATGTGATTAAGTTAGTCCAAACCATAATCCATGTGTCTGCATACGTATTCATATCTAATTCAAAACCTAACTTATAAGAGGTTAGAGATGTAATTAAACCCAATCTAAACTATAATTCATGTGCTTACATACATATTCAGATCTAATTTAAACCTAAATTATGAGAGGCTGGAAATGTGATTAAGCTCAGTCCAAATCATAGTCCATGTGTTTACATGCATATTCAGATCCAGTCCATGGCCTAACTTATTAAAGATTGAAAATGTGATTAAGTACAGCTCAAATCATAGTCCGCGTACCTAAATACATATTCAGATCCAGTTCAAGGTCTAACTTATGAGAGGTTGTAGATGTGATTACCCTAGCCAAAACCATAGTCTATGTGTCTATGTATATATTTAGATCCAGTCCAAGACCTAACTTATGATAGGTTAGAGATATTAATTTCAGCCCAAATAATAGTTGATGTGCCTACATAAATATTTAGATCTAGTTAAATACCTAACTTATGAGAGGTTGAAAATCTTATTAAGTCAGCTCGCCTTCTAAATGACTTTTTTTTTTTTATTTGTTGAATTTAATGAATAAAATTATTAATAGCAAATAATACTATTAAATGAGTTATGAAATTGAGTTAGTACTAAACTAGAAATGTTCAGATAGTTATTCGACTCGTTGATAAAAATATATATTTATACTCATTTTATACCTTAAGTTGATAGAAATTTTTTATTTACAAAACTTTCTTGTTTATTTTTTTTTTTAATTTTAAAAACTTTTTTATAATAATTTAAATAATAAATATTAAGTAGTAATTAAAATAAAATATGATTTAAATATAATATTTAGTAACAAATATAACTAATATTATAAATATTACAACATCATCATATTTTAATTAATTTGAATAAAATTAAAAATGTATTAATTATTAAATTTATACCCACTACATACTCATTTTGGGTTTTTAATTTTCTACTGACACATCTCGTCAATTACAAATTTTTGTCTAAGATAAACTAAAATAAATTAGTAAGTCACTCTATCTGTCACTACATAAAGATTAGTTGGACTATACCTAATTGTCCCTAAAATAAATATTAATCTCATATTTTGTTTTATTTAGGATACCATTAGCACAATATTTATATATATATATATATATTAATGTGATGATCGTTTTTATTAATTATTTAAAAGAAAAAGGAAATGACCATAAATATTAGTTGAAAACATTGACCATCTCTTTCAGGCATTGTTCTAATTCACTCTACTTCTACTTCCCGGTGTTTGAGTTCTTTGAAAATGGATGACATAGTGGGGGGTAGAAGAACATAATGTTGACTTGTTTTTTTTTTTTAAACTATGTGCTAACCTTAGGTTTTAGAGGAAAAGATTTGGGGTGCTACTATGAGATATTTTTTAGTAAATTTATATTTTTTATAAATTAATTTATATATATTATATTATAATAAAAATAATTTTTAAATAACGATATACAATTTAACTTAATCTAAAAAAAATGTTATTGAATATCTTATATTTTTTTTATAAAAAAAATTGTAACTAAATAAGTATATAAAATGAGTATATTAATGATCAAAATTTTGAAAGTACATTTTCTTAAAAAAACTTAGAATATTTTTAATTAAAAAAAATTATTCTAATATTATTAGACACACAATAATTTATAATGTATATTAAATATTTTATGTAACAACTTGAAATTTAAAAGAAAATAAATTATAAATTGAATGCGGAAGTGAAATAATAGAGTTATGATTTACATTCCTTACACAATAATTTAAAATACCTAATAAGGCTCTGAGAATGATACTTCTAAAAGAACAAACGAAAAATTAAGAAATAAATGAAAAGTAAACAATTAGATATCTTACGACGACCTTCACTAGCATTTGAAGGAAGTCCGGGTGGTGAACTATTCACAACTTCCTTATTGATCGAGATCTGGATCTTGGTTCTCTTGATATGAAATGGTTAATGAAATGTGAGCTACACTAACTCAGAAAAAATATCACACTATTCATCGATATAGAAATGAATGTTGGTAAAAATTATAAAAACAACTAATGGAGCTCTTAATTTAAGTAAATTTATTTACCATAAGTAAAATCATTTATTGCATACTTACCGTTTGCGAGATTTTCAAAATTGACCTATAGAGACAGTAGTTTAACAACATCATAATCTCATATTCAAATAAGTAAGAATAACAATTTTTTTTTTATTTGCCTACTGGTATTTATGGGGATTCAGAGGGATATCTCACTACGTGTAAATCCATATCAAAACTTGTCAACCAACCAACCGTCCCTATACCTTATCCGGTATGAGCGTCAAAAATATCATTCTTCAATATCCCGTCCGGTATGAGGATGAATCGGACTGTTCCCATACCCCGTCCGATATAAGCACTAAAAGTATCATCTTCTTAATACCTCGTCCGGTACGAGGGTACATCGGGCCGTTCTCATACCCTATCCGGTATGAGTACCAAAAATACTATGCCTCGATACCTCATCCGATATAAGGTAACACTCACGGTAGGGTTCCTTATATACCCGGTCCGTCCACCATCTCCTAGGATATCAAGTAAAATAACTGTTTCATTAATTCACTTAACCGAGCAATTTTCTACTTACATTTAATTTTTAGTTTTATAATTTAACTATAAATCATGCAAGACAAGCAATATGTACATCAAGGAAATGCAACTGAATCATCTTACCAATTCCAATGCATTATCATGCATTTAAAATTGTAAAATCAAACAATTAGTCAAAACACGACAAACAATAATAAACAATTGATTCTTACTCCATTAGTAACATATATACAATTAATTCTTGAAATTTTTTAATTTACACAAAATACCATATTATTTATAATTAGACTTCAATTCTATAATAGAGAATAATGAGAGAGATTCTTACGCGAATCAGTGTACTGCGCCTACTGGCGGTTTGCAGAAGTAAAAACACGCTTCAAATACCTAAAAATACTTCAAAATATTCAAAATCGATGTTAAAAACCTTTTTCGGCTAATTTCGGAATTATGGCACAGCGGTACCACTGCTCACGGCAGTGGTTTGCCTCGAATTGTCTGTTTTCAGCCAGTTTTGGCCAATTTCGGCCGGTTTTATATCAATCCCTACGAAAAAACACATTAAGGGGACTCGGTTAGCTGAAAAAAATCAAAAAATAAAAATTTATTAGCGGCAGAATTTTTTGGTGCGGCAGCTCCGCTGGCTCACCTTCATGGTTGGCATTTTTTTTGGTCAACTTGTAGAAAACAGAACAGTGACAGAAAATGGAAAGGGGCTCATCGGAAGCGATTTTTGATTTTTTCCCGCGGCGACGTCGCCAAATTTTACCTACGATTTTTTGCTCATCCACCACTCTTTTTTTTCTCTAATTTAGCCATGAGAGTATTCAAAATCAAATTTCGAGCTACTAAGAGAATTTTTACCTTTTCTGGCTGTCGGAGGTGGCTCCGGCGCGGCGGTGGGTGGCAATTGGCTCCCTTTTTCAACGACTGATTCTTCTTTTCTAGCGGGGTACTGGTGGCTAGGGTTAGAGTTTGGTGTGAAATGAGATATTTATACACATCTATCTTAAATCTGGATCGTTCATCGCGTTTAATCTCAACTGTCCGATTGCGTTTAAAGAGTGAATGAATCTGGACTATTCATCGTGATTTGATCTAGACTGTACGATCGCGTTTAAAGAGAGAACTAATTTGAATCGTTCATCGCGCTTAATCGCAACCTTCCGATCGCGCCTGAGGAAGGAACGGATCCGGACCATCCACGCACATGAGAACGCATCCGGGCCGTCCAATCGCGGGCACGCAGATTGTCAGCATGGCACCGAGTCAACGTGTCTTGTCATGTGATACGCTTTGATTCGTCGAGACTGCTGACTGGACGGTCCTATATGGCACAATTTTTCTTAATTACGTTTTAACTTCCAATTTTTTATTTTTCTTTTAAAAATACTTCCCGAACTTAAATTTTCACTATTTTTTTTAAAATTATTTTCAATTCATCCTCCACCTATTTTTTTCCCTAATTTTACATTAAATAAAAATTTATAAATTTAAAAATTATATTTTTATATTTTTATTTTTTAAAAATTAATTCCGAACTAAATTTCAGACCTAAATATTATATTTTAATTATTTATTTTTTTATTTTAAATTAGTACATATAAATAATTAAATTAATTATACGTTGTTAATATATTTTATATTGGTTCAATCATATTATTTAAATGTATAACTAAAATAGATAAAAGTAAAAAATAATTAAATTAATTTTAAAAATAAATAATATTTTCTTCATAATATGATATTGGCGATGCTTATTCCAAGCCATATATATATATATATATACATATAATGTGGTGATAAATTTGAGCATATCATAAAACTAGTATAATTATTTTAATAATTTAGGTTAAATTTATTTAATAATACACGAGAATAATAAAACTTGAAATTAAAAAAAGGCACACAAAAGATAATATATAATTAATTGTTTATTATCACTTATTCTTCTTCATACTTCATATATATATATATATATATATGTATATGTATTTATATTATATTATATACTAACTATGATAATTGAGAAAGGGATATATCTCATATCTAAAATTACAATTCGGCCCAACAACCCTCCCTCCTTCTTTCCCATCACAGCACCTCGGAAGCTCACTGATTATTCCATCAAGACACGTCTTGCAAACTCCGTTCGAAAGATCTCTCGTACACTGAGT